CTGCCCCTCCCCCCCCCCGCCCCCCCGTCCGGCCCCCTCTGGTGTGTCTCACGTCACCCCCCTCCCGTCGGTCGTTCCGGTCAACGAGTCTTCTGACTCTGGTAGTCCTTTGGCGCAGTCCTCGCCGTCTGTCCCTCCCCCGGTGTCTCCTCCTCCACCGCCTCCGCAGCCGCCGTCGCCGCAGCTGCTGCAGCCGTCGTCTCCGCCGCCGCCGCCGTCGAGGGCCGTCGCTGCAGCCGCCGCCGCCGCCGCCGCCGTCGTCGCTGCCGCTGTTTGTGGACTCTGGGGGTGCTGGCGTTGAGGTGGGTACTAGTCCCGGGGCTCCTGTCGGGGCTTGTCCCGGCGGGCCTGGGGGTGGTACCGGTGCTGGCGGTGTTTCGGGCTCTGGGGGTGTCCCTTCTGGGGGTGCCGGTGTGGAGGGTTCGGGAGGTAGCCATCGCGCAGCTTGTGGCCCTGGCGTTGGTGTTGTGTCGCCGCAGCAGCAGTCCCCGCCGGTGTCCGCCCTCCGTCTGCTCGGCCTTCCGTCCCCTGACCCTGCGCCTGTTCCTCTCCGGCCGTCTCCCCCTCTTCCCGTCTACGGCCCCGTGTTCCCTCCGCCGGACTCGTCCCCGGCTCGTTTTCCCCCTCGTTCCCCACCCGTGTCCCCTCCTCTGTCTCCTGACCCGACGCCGCCCTCTCACGTCTGGTCTCGCCGCCCCTCCCGTGCTCGTCCTGTCTCCCCCGTCCCGTGCACTCACCCTATGTTGCTCCGCTCCCACGCGTCTCGTCCTCCCCTCCTCCCGTCTCCTCCTCCGTCCTCTCTTGTCGTTGCGTCTCCTCCTCTGTCTGACTTCTTTCGTGCCGCTCGTCCTCTTGTTCCTCGGGTCCTTGCCTCTCTCGTTACCGACCCGTCTGTTCCAGTGTCGAGTCTTGACGCCCTTGTCGCTGCGGTCGCTGACTTCGCCTCTACCCGCCGCCTTGACTACGCCTCCGCTCTGGTCTCTGACCCTGCCTGTCCTCCGTCTGTCGGGGGTGCTCCTGCCCTCGGCAGTGACGTCCTGGAGGACCGCCAGTTTGAGCTTGCTTTCCTGTCCGAGGCTGCTCCCCATCTCTGTTCCATGCTGCTAGTCCCTGAGGGTGACCCAGACGCTTTTGACATTGGGCCTCTCAGTGGATAGCTGCCATGGAGCAGGAGATGGCATCTTGGAGATCCAGCGGCACCTTCGTCGACGCAGTTCCCCCACCTGGGGTGAACGTGGTCGATGGCCGTTGGCTCTTCAAGGTGAAGCGCCCTCTTGGAGAGCCGCCTGTGTTCAAGGCGCGTTACGTGGCTAGAGGCTTCAGTCAGCGCGAGGGGGTGGAGTTCTTTCAGACTTTCGCTCCTACCCCGAAGATGACTACTCTTCGGGTTCTGCTACACGTAGCTGCTCAGCGTGACTACGAGCTTCACTCCCTCGACTTCTCCACTACCTTTCTTCAGGGCAGCCTTCACGAGCAGGTCTACCTGCGTCGTCCTCAGGGCTTTACTGGCACCTTCCCCCCTGGGACCCAGTGGCTTCTGCGGCGCCCAGTCTACGGCCTGCGCCAGGCGCCTCGTGAGTGGCACGACACGCTGCGTGCTACTCTTGCTGACCTGCAGTTCTTTCCGTCCTCTGCAGACCCCTCGCTCTTCGTTCGTGCTGGCTCGACTCCGTTCTACATCCTCGTCTACGTAGACGACCTGGTCTTTGCCACAGCTGACAGGGACGCACTGGCCTCCGTGAAGGCAGAGCTGCTGAAGAGACACACCTGCACTGACCTTGGAGAGCTGCGCCGTTACCTTGGCTTGCAGATCTCCAGGGACAGAGCCGCGCGCACCATCACCCTGACTCAGTCACACTTGGTGCGCCAGGTCCTTCAGAGGTTCGGCCTTCAGTTCTCCTCCGCACAGCCCACCCCTCTTCCTCTGGACCACAGACTCTCCGCTCCAGTTCCTGAGGAGTCGGTAGATCCCAGTGGTCCTTACGCTGAGCTAGTGGGTTGCCTCATGTACCTGATGACTTGCACTCGCCCAGATCTCGCATACCCTCTCAGCATCCTGGCTCGTTTTGTGGCCACAGGCAGACACCGACCTCAGCACTGGTCTGCCGCTAAGAGGGTTTTGCGTTATCTTGCAAGTACATCGGGCATGGGGTTAGTGCTAGGCGGACGCAGGCCAGTGGTCCTTACTGGACACACAGACGCTTCTTGGGCAGACGACGCCGAGACGCTCAGGTCTTCCCAGGGCTACTGCTTTAGCCTTGGCTCAGGTGCTGTCTCGTGGAGAGCTACCCGCTCCTCGTCTGTTGCCCAGTCCAGCTGTGAGGCTGAGATCTACGCCGGTGCCATGGCGGCACAGGAGCTCCGCTGGCTGACCTTCTTGCTCACTGACTTAGGTGAGCGGCCTAGCTCTGCCCCGGTCCTGTACGCTGACAACAGGGCCATGATTCTCCTGTGTCAGGAGCCTCGACTCAAGGGCAGAGCGAAGCACATCCAGCTGCGGTACTTCCTCCTGCGCGAGCTACAGCAGCGTCGCCAGGCTCGCGTAGTACACTTGGCCTCCGGTGCCAACACAGCTGATATCTTTACGAAGGCGCTTGCGCCTAAAGATCATCAGCGGCACTGTTTACAGCTTGGTCTGGTTCCTGTAGTCTCTCACTTACTCGGGCCTTGACTTTGTACTGTCGTATATATATATATGTGTACACTCAAACTGGACTTGTGTCCTCTCACAGTGGTTGGACTAGTAGTGCCGCCCTGTACTCGTTCTTGCCTTGTCTGTACTCCTTCTGACTGGTCTTTTAGACCCTTGTCTCAGAGGCTGGACTAGTAGTGCCACCCTGAGCTGCTTGTCTAGAACATTCCCCTATGCAGTCCAGGGGGTGTGTCAAACATGTGTAGTTATCATGTTTGTATAGACTGTATAGGGTCACCTTCTAGAGAGTACAACATTTAGGTATATGTTTGTGTACTCTCTCTCTCACATCATTCAATTCTAATTCTGATACTTAGTGCCGATCCCGGATAGATTTCCCTTTCGTATCAAATGTTTTCGTTTTTTCTACATTTGTTTATGTTTTTGAAAAATGTCCCACCCGATATGCAGTCCGTTGTGGCCCAATTAGCTTATGTGACATAAATGCGCAAGGACTCAATTTTGGAATTTTGTGTGCGCGATGTCCAATGATTTTTAATTCGACAATACTTTACGTAGTTCTCTCGTAATGCGCTTTGAGCTTGGGAAAATTATCGCACCAGCTGCAATGATGACGAAATTGGGTTGGCGGGAGCGGAAAAACGTTCCGAGACCGGCGGGGGTTACTTCTACTGACCATTCGTGGAACTTTTTTCCTGCAGTTTCTGAATAACGGTGGAATTCGACTGATGAAACATGTTGCAAACTCACTAATTCTGATTGTTGATATCGTATCACTGACCATACATGTTATCGAGGCCCCTAATACTGAGCACCGATATACTTTCCCCTCATAGTATTTGCCCGCGTGGAGTCTGCCGCGCTTAGGCCATAGGAACGAGGGAGTACTGTGTACGCACTTAGAAATGGTCAAGGCGGTAGAAGAATTTTTGTTTCCTTCCTGACCATTTCTGAGTGCGTAGACAGTACCCCCTTGTTCCTACGGCCCAAGCTTGGCAGACTCCACGAGCGCAAAAATGTTGAGCATTGCCTAAGCTGACTTCGGGTTTCCTGACTCGAGAAACTCTAAATCGAGCAGTAATCGTTTCGTATAGAATCCCAAGTTCAAATTATTTTTCAAGGGTATCCATATCTGGTCTTCGGGAGCTGCTTTCGGTGGGTGAATACCCTCTCGGCGTCACCCCCTGTGAAAATACTGGGCTTGAAAATACCGCGGGCTATGTGTACACTCTTCCCACAAGCAAACTATGGCCGCAGTAGGGTAACAGCCTTGACATCAGGGCGAGGCACTGGATGGATGCTGTTTTCCAGGTCGCGGATCCTCTGGGTAGCAGTTTTCACGGATTTCAAAACGATTTAACTGTTTGTAGAGCATTATACATTTATTGAGTGCGGTGAAATGTCACCTTTGAAAATCAGGGCCATGTGCAGTGCCGCGCCCTCAGGCACCCAAACCTCCCCACCCGATCTGGAAGGTAAGGCCCAGCCAGCTGTTTTTCCGTTCTGGAAGGAAGCCGCCTCTCCTGGCGCAAATGGGATCACGAACTTCGCCGAATCGTGGGCGGCACCAGCTTGAACTGGACACCTGAACCAGCAGAGCCAGATGTATCCGGGCAACATACAAACATGTTCTGTCAAATCGCCTGTGTTTCACTGGGAGCATAAGTCGGGCAACCATAAAACGCACATCGGAATCCGAACCAGCTCTTCCATGAGCTGCGCCTGGCATTTCGCCCCCCTGGTCGTCAGTGCTGCACTGGGCCGTGTTAAAAAAAAAAAAAAAAAAAAAAAAAAAACATGGAAGCGCATTCGGCGGATTTTTATCTCCGTCTCAGCCCACTCCGACTCACCGATTCCCTCGGAATGCCCGACATGGATCATCAAGTCTCCAGCCCTCCTAGTGTCACGGGTCTGACTCCGTCTCTGACACGAGCTGCGGAATGAGGGTTATCCCCTGCATCTGTACAGTACCAGCCCGCCTGTCTACCTGCCCTCCTCCTCCCTGTCCTATCCCCCATCGCACTCTGGCGGACGAAATCCTGCTCGACATAGACCAACACCCCCTGCCCTGATTGAGTTGAGTCATTAGGGCGTGGTACATCGGGAGTGGAAAGACTTTTCGAAATGGTGCAACACGTTACTGCTGGTTTTTAAGTTATGATTGGGTGCAGTATGGTGGCCGTTTGGATTTGGTCATTTGTGATGGGCATGGGAAGAACCTGACACTCATTTATGGGCCCTGACACACAGCCCAATTGCAACTGGGAAACGAACTTCGCAGGGGAAGGACTCGCAAAGCACTCACACAAACACCACGACTGACGAAAACTGTATTCCTGCCTCCCCCAGTACAGCAGTATTTACTGCTACCACGCTTCCCTCATCCCCAGGCCGCTTCTTCGCACATTTGCCGTACTAAATGACAACTAACGCGTAATGCGCGCTGCTAGTGCATCAGCCGAAGCGCCATTCGCAAGTCGACGCTCCGAACCACCACTTGCCCTAATAAAGTGGCAGATTCTGTGTTTAGACGCGACCGTCCAGACATCAGCACGAGTCGCATCAGCCCGAAGGAGCTAGACCCTCAAACCAGTCATCCCACGCTTACCCGCTTCCCACCTCCCTCAGACAAACCTTGCCCACTTTAAGACCGTTAGCTTTCTCCGGTAATGTGTGTATCCTCGAGTACCTACCCGTGTAGATAACTTCCTTGGTTCGAGCCGCTTCTCCATAGTTCCATAGCCGCATAGCCAAGCAAGCATCTTCCAGTCCGCAATCGCACGTCTCGCACGTCTCGCATTAGCAGCGGCGGTACGGACCAACCGACTGACACGAGGAAGTCAACACCCCGCACCTCCCCCGCTCCTCTCGGCGAAGGGTCGCACAAATGGCGCCCTCCTCGCACCTCGCACGGCCGTCGCCCGCGTCGCTATCGTCGCTATCGTCGCTCGTGCTGCTGCTGCTGCTCTCTCTCGTCGCCGCGTGCCTCGCCAGCCAAGGTAAACCCCGCCCCTGTTGTGACCGCTCCTCGAACCAGCCGCTGTTGCCGCACCGCAACCATCACCCGCAACGCACGGCTAGAACCAGATTCACTTTCCTGCCAGGCCCCCAGCGAACTTCCCCCTCCAAGCGGGTCGTCCCCTCTCTCCCTTGCAACGGTCGTTTTCTCTATCGTTCCCTTTCATTCTTGTCCCGTTTCGCTCTCAAGTTTCCCTGAGCCCTTCCTTCCGCCCCTCCCTATCCATTCGCCCTTCTCAACCCTTCCCCTCTTGCTTTCCCAACCTTCTCCCTTCTCCCTTCGCCTATTGCTCATACCACTCCCCTCCCTCCCTCTCCCTCGATTCTTATATCCACACTTCCCTCCCCTCTAACCTCTCCCTCTACCGCCGTCTGCCCACCCCATCGTCTTCCGTCAGGCGATTCTGATCCAATCTACATAGTTCGCCTTAAAGACCCGCCTGTCGCCGCATACACCGGCGGAATCGGCGGCTACCCCGCAACCGCGCCTGCCGCCACCGCCAAAACCGCCGCCGGCGCGCTGAACAAGCTGGGGAAAGCGGCGCGGAACGCGGCGAAGCAGCTTTGGAAGAAGCGGCCGAGGCTGAACGTGCGCGGCGCGAACGTTAAAACGTTCGTCAAGTTCTTAAAGCAGCAGCAGAAGAAGGTTGCGCAGGACGTGGGTGTGGCTGCCCAGAAGCTCATCCACAGGTGAGGAGACGAGGGAAAATGGGAAGAAGGGGGACGAGGGGGAGGAGATGGAGGAGAGCGATTGAGAGTGCTACTCTGATCCCCCGACTGAGCTTGTCTGCGTCGGCCGGTCTGCCGCCCGCTGCGATGATGCGGAATCTCTCACTTTCTCCCTTCCCCCGCCCCATCGCCACTCTCGCCCGCTCTCTCTCCCCAGTTTCGGCCGTCCCTTCCTATCGCACCCTCCCATCCACCTTCCCCTATCATCCATCTCGCCACACACGAAACCCTTTCCATCTTCCCTCTCTCCCCCTCTCTCTCCCCCACCAGCTACACGCACGTTGAGAACGGCTTCGCAGCCACCTTATCCCCGAAGCAAGTGCGCAAGCTGCAGTCGCACCCGGACGTCGCGGCGGTCACGCAGAGCGTGCGCGTGTCCTTCTCCACCACGCACTCCCCGCAGTTCCTGCGCCTGCCGCAGTCGCTCTGGGAGTCCGCGGGCGGGGAGATGGCGGCGGGGGAGGACGTGGTGATCGGCGTGATCGACTCGGGGATATGGCCGGAGCACGCGTCCTTCTCTAACACGGTGCGCGCCGAGAGTTGTGCAGGAATTGGCAGTTATTCTGTCATGTCAATGAGACGGCAAAAGCAGCGCCTTGCTGGCGTTGATTAGACTGCCTTCAGCGTCTGCTCTGTTGTGATCACTTCAGCTTGGAGATTGGCGGGCCGCGGGGGTGCGGGAGGGGGTGGTTGCGGAACGGGGAACCATTGCATTGCTGGGCGGCTCATTGCGTTGCCCGCGCTGGCATGGCGGTGCGATGTGATGGCCGGATAGGGGTAGGAAACATGCCGCGCGTGCATGTACCGATTGGCGCAAAGTGCGCGGGCGCTTGGGTAGGCGCGCGGACGATTGGCGGAATGAGAAGACCAACCCTCCCGCCGTCTCTCGTCTCTTTCCCTGGCCCCCGACCTTCCCCGCACCCTACATTCACACCTTTCCCCAAAAATCCCTTTCCCCCCACTCCCCTGAAAGCATGTCCCTCCTCCCCTCCGCCTCTCTTCTCCCTGTGCCGTTTCCACGGAGGCAGGCCGTGAGTTGGTGCGGCAATCCCTGGCGTCCTTCACGGGCGCGATGTGCGAAACGATGTTGCGAGCCGAAGCTTCAACTTCCCCAACGCCCCCCCCCCCCCCCCCTTCAATCTCCCCGTGCCTTCCCCCCATGCCTTTCCCCCCACGCCTTTTCCCCTGCGCCTTTCCCCCCACGCCTTTCCCCCCACGCCTTTCCCCCCACGCATTTCCCCCCATGCCTTTCCCCCCACGCCTTTCCGCCTTGCAGGACGTGAGTGAGTTCGGCGACCCCCCCGCGTCGTTCACAGGGGAGTGCGAGACAACAGCGGACTTCTTCGCGTGCAACGGCAAGGTGGTGGGCGCAAGGTTCTTCAACGCGGCGTTCAGCAAGGAGAACCGCGGGAAGATCGACTTCAGCTCCGACTACAACTCGCCGCGCGACTCCGACGGCCATGGCACGTGGTGTGCTGGGTGAGTGACGTGGCGTTGGCTGGGTGGCGTGGCGTATCCTCCCACCCCAAACCTCCCTGTTTCCTTTCCCTCCCTCCCTCCGTCCTCCATCTTGACCTCATTGCTCTGGAATCCAGTGCCTCGACGTCTGGATACATCCACATTCCTAGCGCTCACCCTCCCACCCTCCCCTCTCCCTGCGTTGCAGTGGGCAACAATGGATTGGGGCGACAGAGACAGCATCGCGAGCGGCATGGCCATTGCGCGCGCGTCTCATAGCGTCCATGGTCTTTCCGAAGCACAGCGGGAGCAATCTCATGTGCCAATTCATGCTCGCTTCCCCCACACGCCCACCTTCCCGCTCCCCCCTCCCCGCACCCCGCGCCCCGCTTCCTGCTCCCCGCTTCCCCCTCCCGCTCCCTGCTCCCCTTCCTCAGCGCTGCAGCGGGCAACACCGGGGTGGGCATCGGCGACGTGATGGCGAGTGGCATGGCCCCGCGCGCGCGCCTGGCGATCTACAAGGTGTTTTGGAAGCACGGCGGGGACATGTGGGCTAATAACGCGGACGTGAACGCGGCCGTGAATGCAGCAGTGGCGGACGGAGTGGACGTGCTGAGCCTGTCGTTCGGGGGCGTGGATCCCAGAGCCACCTACTTTGATGACATTCCCTTCCTCAACGCCCATGCTGTGCGTTCCACGCATTTGCTATGGGGGCTGGGGCTGGGGAACGGAGAGGAGGGGAGGGGAGGGAGGGGAGGGAGGGGGGGTTGGGGTTGGGAGGGCTGGGCAGCGTGGCATGTGCGAGGGGGGTTGAGAGTTTTGGCAAGGGGTGGGTGAGAAGCACTGTTGATGCGCTCATTTGCTTGCTCTTCATGCCCGTGCCTCCTTCCAGTCTGGCCATTCCCAATCGCCCCTTCTACAGCACAGCCCTCTAGGATTGCATTGTCCTCCTTCCCCCCTCATCCACCGTCTGCGGTCTCTCCTCAGCCCTCTCCTCTGCCCACGCCTCCCTTATCCCCCCATTCTTCCTCACCTTCCCTCCCTCCCCCCTTTTCCTTCTCTCCCTCCCTCCCTTTCCTTCCCTTCTGCCCTCTCCTCCCCTCAGGCGGGGGTGGTGGTGTCATTCGCAGCGGGCAATGCGGGCGGTGTGCATCCAGCCAAGGGGGAGTACCGCCTCATAGACAACTTCGCTCCGTGGTACCTCTCCGTGGGAGCCAGGTACTAAACACTGTCCTGCTTCTCACCCCCCTGTTCGTCGCCCTCTTCTCGCTCTCTCTCCCACCCTGCTCCTTCTGCAACCCCCATCCCATTCTCCCCCCTCCCCTCACTCGCCTGATCAGTCTCTTTCTCACTCTGTCCTGTTTTCTCTTGTCACCACTCACCATTCTCTCCTTCTCCCCTCTATCTCCTGGCCGCTCCCCTCTCCCTCTCTCTTCCCCCTTCCCCTCGCTCTTCTCCCCCTCCACCACCCTTTCACCCCTTTTCCCCGCTGCTCGCAGCACCATAAGCCGCTACACGGACATGTCTTCTGGCAGCGACTCCCCCAGTGGAGCAAGCCCTCCGCAGGATGGCACCAGTGAAGAGCCCGTGGATGCTGCTGCAGGCGGCGATTCTGCTGCTGCTGCTGCTGCTGCTGCTACTGGTGGTGGTGGTGCGGGTGTGACGAGCAAGTCTGTTGGGACTGACGCGGCTGTCACTCTCTCGTCCAAGGAGCTGAAAGGGTTCACGTCAGTCCCGCTTCCCCCGCTCCCATTGTTTTCCCATGCCCCCCTTGTTACCCATGCCCCCCTTGTTTCCCCTCTTCCGTGTTTGCGACGTATCTTCATTTTTGTCCTCCCTGTTCTCCTTACGCTCCTGTTGTTTCCACACTGAAGTCAACTCCCCTCACGTTCGTTTTCTCCCCACCTCCCCCTCCCCCGCCCCCAGCTTTCTCGAGTCCCCCGATGATCCCGACGAAGCGCCTATCCTCGCGCCCTTCTCCTCCACCGGCCCTCTTGCCGCGCCCGCCGCAGTCCCCGCAGCCGGCAGACCCAATAACGACATCCTTAAACCCGACATCATCGCTCCGGGCGTCGCGCTCTGGGCGGCGGCTCCTAGTCCCACGCTCACCGACTACGACAGCTATTTTAGGAGGCTCTCCGGGACGTCCATGGCTACGCCGCATATTGCGGGAATCGCGGCGCTGATCATTCAGCAGAAGCCCACGTGGACTCCGGCGCAGGTCATGTCAGCGATAACGACGACGGCGAGCGTGCGAAACAACAGGGGGACGCCTATCCGGACGCAGCAGAAAGGGCAGGCGTCGCCAGCAGGCGACCGCGTCGCGACGCCGTGGGAGATGGGGTCTGGGCATGTAAACCCTCTCAGTGTTCTCGACCCTGGGTTGACGTACGACGCGAATGCGACGGAGTATAAAAATTTCCTCGCGGGTTTGAACTTCAATCAGGCGAAGAAGGAGTTCCGTTCGATCGCCGTGAAGCCCATTCGCGCGTGCAATCTCAACCGTGCGTCGATAAGTGTGTCGAAACTGCAGCGATCGGTGACGGTGACGCGACGGGTTACCAATGCCGCCAGCGAGGCTTCAACGTACGAATCCTCAGTGGAGTTTCCCCCTGGTGTGAATGTGGTGGTGAACCCTCCAAGTTTCACCATCCAGCCTGACCAAACGGTAACCTACACGGTTACATTTACTGTTCAGAAAAAGAATCCAAACTTTGTGTTCGGAAGTCTGACATGGGCCGATGACAAGGGCCATGTGGTGAGGTCTCCAATTGCTGTTCAGCCCATCAAGTGAGGACTGTAACAAAATGTAATAATGATTAGGGTGAGAGAGTACAAGGGTATATACCAGGGCCAGGCCCCCAAATTGGTTTTGGGGGACGCTGATCGCTCAGTGTCCCCTGCCATTCCTTGGGTTGGTCATCAGCGTCGCCCCCTGAAAAAAGGCTGAAAAATCAGGGTAGCCTAGAAAAAAATCGCTGATCAATCGGCGTTGCACCTAGATTTTACGCTGATTCAAAGTTTCCATTGAACATACCGTAGTAACGAGACATTTAATATGAACGTTCACACGAAAAAGAAGGCCTTGTTCAAAGAATCAGACCGAAAACAGAACTGAGTGGCCCAACGAGAAAGTTCGACTTATTTGACGGTCCCATAAAGTTGATCCGACACATAAGCATCACGAAATTGATGGAAATACCGGTAGAAGTGATTGGAACGTGAGCCGTTCGTGTCAAACATGTGTAGTTATCATGTTTGTATAGACTGTATAGGGTCACCTTCTAGAGAGTACAACATTTAGATACATGTTTGTGTACTCTCTCTCTCAATTCATTCAATTATTCTGATATGGTATCACGCGTAGGTAGGATCCCCCCCCCCCCACCTACCGCTTCCGCTCATGCTCCCTAGCGCCCCTCCTGGGCCCCGTCGCGCTCCTCGCAGGCCCCGTCGCGCCCCTCCTGGGCCCCGTCGCGCCCCTCCCAGGCCCCGTCACGCTCCTCCCAGGCCCACTAGCGCCCCTCCTGGGCCCCGTCGCGCCCCTCCCAGGTCTCGTAGCGCCCCGTCGCGCCCCTCCTGGGCCCCGTAGCGCCCCTCCTGGGCCTCGTCGCGCCCCTCCTGGGCTTCGTAGCGCCCCTCCTAGGCCCTGTAACGCCCTCCCAGGCCCCGTCGCGCCCCTCCCAGGCCCCGTCGCGCTCCTCCCAGGCCCCCTAGCGCCCCTCCTGGGCCCCGTCGCGCTCCTCCCAGGCCCCGTCGCGCTCCTCCCAGGCCCCCTAGCGCCCCTCCTGGGCCCCGTCGCGCCCCTCCCAGGCCCCGTCGCGCTCCTCCCAGGCCCACTAGCGCCCCTCCTGGGCCCCGTCGCGCTCCTCCCAGGTCTCGTAGCGCCCCGTCGCGCCCCTCCTGGGCCCCGTAGCGCCCCTCCTGGGCCTCGTCGCGCCCCTCCTGGGCTTCGTAGCGCCCCTCCTGGGCCCTGTAACGCCCTCCCAGGCCCCGTCGCGCCCCTCCCAGGCCCCGTCGCGCTCCTCCTGGGCCCGTAGTGCCCCTCCTGGGCCCGTAGCGCCCCTCCTGGGCCCCCATTGCGCCCCTCCCTGGGCCCCGTATCCACCCTCCTGGGCCCCGTCGCGCCCCTCCTGGGCCCCCCCCCCTACGCGCCCCTCCTGGGCCCTGCCGCGCTCCTCCTGGGCCCCGTCGCGCCCCTCCTGGGCCCCCCCCCCCCCCCCCCCCCCACCCCAGCTCGGCCCTGTCGCGGCCTCTCGGCCCCGTGGCGCCCGCCCGGCCCCTGTCGCAGCTGCCCGGCCCCTGTCGCACCTGCCCGGCCCCGTCACGCCCGCCCGGCCCTGCTGTGTCCTGCCCGGCCCCGTCGCTGCCGCCCGGCCTTGTCGCTGCCGCCCGGCCTCGTCGCTGCCGCCCGGCCTTGTCGCTGCCGCCCGGCCTCGTCGCTGCCGCCCGGCCTTGTCGCTGCCGCCCGGCCCCGTCGCAGCCGCCCGGCCTTGTCGCTGCCGCCCGGCCCCGTCGCAGCCGCCCGGCCCCGTCGCGCCTGCCCGGCCTCGTCGTGCCTGCCCGGCCCCGTCGCGCCTGCCCGGCCCCGTCGCGCCTGCCCTGTCCCGTCGCGCCTGCCCCGGCCCTCCATACTTCCTGGTACTGTCCCCCGTTCCCCGCACCACTTTGCACCCTCCTGCACTTTCCTGCCCCGCCTTGCACCGCATTGCACCTCACTGAACCGCACTGACCGCACTGCACCGCACTGGACCGCACTGCACCGCACTGCATCGCACTGCACCGCACTGGACCGCACTGCACCGCACTGCATCGCACTGCACCGCACTGCACCGCCCTGCACCGCACTGCACAGCACCACACCGCACTCCACTGTCCTCCACTGCCCCTCATGGCTGCTGAGCTTCGTTTTGATGCTGAGGGTCAGCCTCTGGAGTTCGAGGCGTGGTTGGCTGACCTTCGCCGCCACCTCACTGGTCAGCGGCAGGACGGCCACCCGCTTTCTGCACACCTAGACGGTATGCTCCCCTGCCCTGACCCCCCTGCTGTGCTGCCCGCTGATCCCACGCCCGCTGAGCGCGAGTCCACTGCCGCCGCTGCCCTTGCCCGCTCTGTCTGGCTTTCCCGCGATGCCCTTGCTCAGCTCGCCATTAGCAATGCCCTCCCCCCCCTTGAGCGCCCTCGCTTTAGAACCATTACTACCGCCCAGGCCTACCTCGATGCTGTCATCAAGCGCTATTCTACCCCTCCTGCTGCCTCAGTGGGTCGCCTGATCCTCCCCCTGCTCTTTCCTGACCTGGCGTCCTTCCCCACTGTCTCTGACCTCGCTGCCCACCTGCGCTCGATAGATGAGGCCTGGCGCGCTGCCTGCACTGATGCACAGCTTAGAGTCCACCAGCCTCCCATGACCTCTACCCTCTACCTCCTTGCCACCCGCCTCCCTGACCGCCTTGCCGCCGCCCGCGACCAGTTCCTTAGCATCCACCCTGCTGCTCTCACCCTCACCGACTTTGTTGACACCCTGACTGCCATAGAGACTCGTCACCGCTCCATAGCCCAGGCGAGCGGTACAGTACCGGTCCCTATCTTTCAGGGTTGTGCCCCCGCTCAGTGTACCTTCTCCGACGGCTCTGTCGCTGTGGCTGAGACTGCTGCTGCAGTGCAGTCCCGCTCGGGGAAGGGCCGCCGCCCCAAGGTTGGGAGCGGCGGAGGTGGCGGGGGTGCGGGTGGGGGTAGTGGTGGAGGCGGGTCGTCCGGTGCCGGTGCAGACGTGGGGACCCTGCCCGGTCCAGCTGCCCCGCTGCCTCCACCGTTGCAGCAGCCGCAGCAGCAGCAGCCTCCGCAGCAGCCGCAGCAGCAGCAGTCGCCGCAGCCGCAGCCTCCGCAGCAGCCGCAGCAGCCGCCGCAGACGAGGCCGGCGAGTGCTCTCCCGCCTGGGTGGCCTGGAGCTGGTGGTGGTCGTGCGCGTGGTGGTGCACCGGGTGGTGGTTCTGGAGGCGGGCCCTGTCAGTACCAGATCCAGACCGGTCCTTGCCGCGGCTTCGTTTGCGGTAAGATCGGTCATTCCACTCCTCGCTGTTTTCGTCGTCTGGACGACCTGTTCCGCCAGCGCTTTGGCCCGGCGCCCGACCTCCCGGACTGGCACAGCTTGCTTAGGCGTAGCATTCGGATTTTTGACTTGGACATGGATGCCATTGTAGCAGCCTTGCATGTGATGTATGCCGATGACTCTAGTGTGCTTCCCTCTTATTACCCCGTGTTGCCTAGTGTAGCTGTGCCTAGCGTAGACTCCCCTGCTGCGTCAGGCGTAGGATCTCCTGCTTTGCTTAGCCTCGGTGCTTCCACCGCTTCACTGTCGCCCCGCGCGACTGCTGCGCTTTCCTTCACCTTGGACTCTGGCGCCTCCCGGTGTTTCTTCCGCGACTCCACGACGCTGACGCCGCTGCCTGTTCCCGCTGCAGTTACTCTTGCTGACCCCTCCGGTGGTCCCGTCGTTGCCCGCAGTTCCACCTCCCTTCCCTGTCCGGCGGTTCCTTCAGGTTCGCTCACCGGTCTGCATATCCCCCCGTTCTCCAGGAACCTAATTGGTGTCGGCTGCCTCCAGGACCTTGGCGTCACCACTACGTTCCCTGGTCACGAGCGGTATGCTGTCTGTACCGAGGCCGCCACTGGTGCCCCCCTTACCACTTTCCCCCGGGACCCGGTGTCCGGCCTGTTCACACTTGACACCGCGACGTCCCCGGCTGGGTCTTCCCCCCAGGTAGCTGCGTCCACCCAGGTTGCTGCTGCGTGCTCCTGTCGGTCCCTCACTCATCCGACTCTCCTTTGGCACCACCGCCTTGGTCACCCTGCACTCCCACGTCTGCGTCACATGTCCCAGCACGGTCTCGTCCTTGGTCTCCCCGGTTCGTTCCCTGAGTTTCCCTCCTCCCCCGCCCCACCGTGCACGCCTGGTGTCGAGGGCCGGCTCCGCCGTGCCCCTCACTCCTCCTCTTTTCCCCCTACCACCGCACCCCTGCAGACTCTGCACATGGACGTCTGGGGCCCAGCCCCGGTCCATGGGCCGCGTCGCGAGCGCTTCTTCCTAGTGCTTGTCGACGACTTCACACGTTACACCACCGTCTTTCCCCTGGAGCGGAAGGCCGACGTGCCTGACGTTCTCATCCCCTGGCTTGTCTCTGCTCGTCTCCACCGCGGTCTCCCTGCCTTGCGCCTCCACTCCGACCGGGGTGGCGAGTTCGCCTCAGGTGTCCTTGGTCGCTTCTGTCGTGCGGAGGGCATCACCCAGACGTTTACCCTGCCGGACTCCCCGCAGCAGAATGGGGTCGCTGAGCGACGCATCGGTTTGGTCATGGAGGTGGCTCGCACCTCCATGATCCACGCCGGTGCACCCCATTTTCTGTGGCCGTTCGCCGTGCGCTACGCCGCTCACCAGCTTAACCTGTGGCCGCACCCCCAGCGGACGCAGGTTTCGCCGACCCTTCTGTGGACCGGGTCCCCTGGTGACGCGTCTGCGTTCCACGTCTGGGGCTGCCTTGCTCACGTTCGTGCCTCTGGCACGGACAAGCTCACTGCCCGCACCCTCCCCTGCGTCTTCCTCGGTTTCCCCCTTGACGCGTCCGACTGGCACTTCTACCACCCGCCGTCTCACCGTTTCTTTCACTCTCGCGACGTCACCTTTGACGAGTCCGTCTCCTTCTACCGCCGCTTTCCCCACCGTGGTCCCCCGGTTACTCCCCCCCTGTTCCTGGTTCCTCCCTCCCTGGTGGCCCCCCCCTCCCCCCCCCCCGCCCCCCGTCCGGCCCCCTCTGGTGTGTCTCACGTCACCCCCCTCCCGTCGGTCGTTCCGGTCGACGAGTCTTCTGACTCTGGTAGTCCTTTGGCGCAGTCCTCGCCGTCTGTCCCTCCCCCGGTGTCTCCTCCTCCACCGCCTCCGCAGCCGCCGTCGCCGCGGCTAC